GTCCAAGAGTTGGAGGCTGCAGTGAGCTGTGATTGTGCTACTGTACTCCAGTCTGGGTGACAGAGATCTAACTCAAAAAAGTGAAAAGTTCCAGAGATGGATGGTGATAATGAGTGGACGGTGCCACTGAACTGTATATTATACTATCACATTTTTGAAGTTCAAAATAGTGATTGAAATTACTTTTTTTTTCCAGAGACCTCGGACTAACGTAAAATTTCCAGAAAATGCATTATGTCCTCTCAATATGATACCACACATCTTCTAGTGTAGATGTATCCTGATCTAAAACATACAGCTCAATGCGGATGCTAAACAATTCTGAGGGACTTTGTCGAGGCTTGGAGGTGCTACCTTTGCAGGTAAAGTCCAGAATAACAGCAGGAATCTTGTTAGTCTGGGGATAGGATAGACTGTGTTTAGAAATTTTTATTGGAGATATTTATTTAAACTGGACAAAAGGAGACAATGACAGCCTGTCATAGCAGTGACCATTTTATTGCATGGCACAAAAGCTTGCAGAAACTGGCTAGAAGTATGATTGGTGATGGTGGCGGTAATAGCAAAGGTAGTGTTTTGGTGAAGAAACCAGAGAATCACATGAAACTAAACTGAACATTGACCTTCACATAATTGAAAAAATACTGGCAACTGGTCTCTCTGCTTTTCCTACTTTGGAGTTGAATGATCTCTTTCTGCTACTCTCTTCTTGCCTATTACACTCTCTCAAGTCAGTATTTTCAGTAAAATTCTTTAGTTTCTGCCTCTCAAATAACATGGCATGATCCTATAGACATAGTGCTCAGTGCAATATGATTCAGACTCTGTGTCTCAAATCCTAATTTTAGGAGGGAGAACCCAATTGGATGAAGTTGGGTCATCTGTGCTGGTTCAGTGAGCTGCAATCAGGTTAGGGTTATGTTGAGTGTCTCTTAAGGAGTGGGCTGTGCAGATGTCACTTAGGCACGGGAGGGTGCCATGGAAGAAATGATGGGTGTTTCCAGTACAAGATTTGGGCTTAAAGAGAAATACTCCATATTGAGGTGAAAATGGTAGAAATTGATATCTGATAGGATTTGAGAATTTCCACTTGAGGAGATTTGTGGTGAGTGAACTTTGAATTTGCTGCATAAATGAGCAAATATTTAGTCTGAAAAAACTATTTTCTGGATTTACCAACTTCAGACTCTGTGAACATTGAATTCCCAGATTAAAATTAAATTTGTATGCATTCAGTTTCACTGTAATTTGAACTACTTTTGGCAAATCATTTTTTGTAGTTTCTGTGTCCTCACTTACACATGGGTATTAAAAATACCTGCATTATCTTATAGGGTGCTGTGATTAAATAGATAATACAGATTAAGTACTCTGAACTATAAAGTGTCATGCAAATGTAAAGTTTTATTACTAACAAGTGAATACTATGTGATGAGTAATTTTAATAACACTCTCCTTGTACTCATCCTGTGAGTGTGTGTTTGTGTGTGTGTGTTCCTGTCTGTGGAGGTAAAGAGGAAAGGGCGGAAGGAATGGAAGGCAGTGTAAAGCTGCTGATTAAAAGAGATTTCACAAGAGAAGGAAATGCTGCAGTGCCCTGTGGGGACCATTTCTGCGCTCACGTTCCTCTGACAATTTCTGGGCAGAGCAATTACTCCTACTGCGACCAACTTTTTTTCCCTCTCCAAGTGATATGTGAAGTGAAGGACATTTACATGAGACAAAAGAAAGAAAACCACTTGGCTTAAAAAAAAAAAAAGAGGTACAATTTAAAGTTTATGGGCTGTGGAGACTGTGAGAGGTTATTTTGATAGGTAGGAGTTGTAGATGGCATGTGCTTGTGAGTGTATGTGCATATGAGAAAGAGTATGTGTGTGTGAAACACATACACACAGAAAGAGAGAGAGTCACGTAGTACAAAACACTGAGGTAGTTGTGGTTTTCCTCCACTAGCCTGTAGAATCAGTTCTGTGTGGGATGTGTGAACTGCTTTCCATTGTCTACTTCAGCAGATCATGATGGAAGAGACCACCTCCTTCCAATCCAATCTAGTGAGGCTATTCCTAAGGGCTTATGAATGGAAGAAACAGTTTTTGACAGAATTTAAGTGAATAGTACTGCTTGCTGGATATTATTTATTTTTAGAAAAGAGAAGTTGAGGAGGGACTAGGAAACTGACATTGAATGTCAGGTACTGATTATCTCTGCTTAGGTTCAAAATAGTACTATGAAGTAGATATTATCATCCCTAATTTACAGATAAGGCATTTGAACTTCAGAAAATTTAAATAACTGCTAAAGGTCTGAAGCAAGTAAGCAGAGACTCTAATATTCAAGCCCTGGCTTTTTTATTTCCAATTGCCTGTTCTTTCTATTGACACCATTTTGGGACTGGGGACCCCTAAACTATCATCTGAAGATTTAGTGTGGAAACACTTTCCAAGAAATTATTTATCTTGATTTAAATGCTATATTCAACAGCTTAAGATGAAAGGGATAATTTAAGTTATACCTGCTGGTAAAATCCAGATGGCTGAAACATTATATTTCTATAAGGCCTTTATTCTAGGAAGGCAGGATACGTGAACACATGCTCAGTGCTAGGAGACTGGAGAAGGCACACTTGGCCTCACCTCTCCTTTCTGTGTGTACTAGCCAGAATGGACTCTACAAATGGGTCTGTCTTTGATGGAGAGTTTGAGGGAACTCAGCCTGCAGGGGCTTGATGAGTGACTAGCACTCCTCTGAACCCTTTGGGGAATGCATACTTATAAAACAGAAACAGAACAATATTTATCCTTGGTTGCACCATTACTTTGGTAGATGGTAAAAGGGAAATATCAGAATAGTAACAACATATATGGAGCGCTTACTATGGCCTGTGTATTATGTGAAATGATTCACATGTATTGTTTCTGTTTCTTCTCATAACCACACAACATCTCCCTAAAGAACATGTCCCCTCTGAAGCTTCGCGATTCCCTATGGACACAAACTGGGTGTGCTTGTAGATGTGGAAAGAACTAATATTCTTCTGTACTGAAAACTGAAAGAAGCAGATGATTCAGTATTTTGAGACTGCATAAATCTATCTCATGTGTATGCAGTTTCTAACCTGCGATGGTTTCCTGTTGCACGTGGAAGTCTTCTCTCCGAGGGGCTAAGAATCTCCACCTTGTGACTCCAGTGTATTTGTCCCTGATTCTCCACATCTGTCTTCTCTGACCACATCTTTTTACTAGAGTTTCCAAAACTTGCCCCTATCCCTGTTGTCGGATGCTGCCTTGGTCCACAGTGTCTTTTTCTCTCCTTCCTTCTTCACTCCCATCTAGCTAGGCCTTGGATTTCTTTCCTGTTTTTCCCAGTGTAAGTATTCTCTCTCCTATAGAATTTGCTGGCACTGTCTGCTCTTTGGCTTCACAACCATTTGACTTAATTCTTTCAGCTACGAGGTCACGAAGGAATCACTCGCATCAGTGTTTCATTGCAGGCTTGGCCAAACTGCCTGGGTTTGCATTTTAGCTTCACCTCTTGGTAGTTACATAATGTAGAGCAAGTTGCTCTTTGTGCCTCAGGTTTCTCATCTGTGAAACTGGGATAATAACAGAACCTAGCTCATGGTGTAGTTATGAGCAAGCAACGAAATTAAGCATGTGAGTCATTTAGCACAATACATAGGCCATGATAGGCGCTCCATAAATGTTGTTATTGTCATTCTGATAGTGCCTTGTTTATGGTCACATATGAAGACTATACCTTGAATTGAATTGTGTTGCAAAAGTGGTTATTGTGGCACTTGCTATGGTAAGGAAGCAGCCCAGGGGCTCATGCTTGATCCAGAGACGGGCTCACAAAGGGCTAGGTGAGGGTGGTGGCTGGGGGAATGGAGAGGAGGAGGTATTGTCATCATATTCCTAGTCCTTATGTTTGCACAGTCTCTGTGGCTCCCAAATAGACAAGTTTTCCTGACACCCCCAAGCCCAGATATGGCCATGTTACCAGACAACAAGCCACTTGAGGCACAACAGTGCTTATACCTTGGTATAGCCTGATCATCTTTTTAAACTAGAGAGTTGGAGCTAAACCTTTAAACTGCCATAGTCAGGGAATATCACAGATGTGCAGTATGTAGTACAGATACCTTGTGCTCAGTAATTTTTCCGTTTTAAACACTAATAAGTACCTGTTGCATTCAGAATTCTGAATTAGGATAGAATGAGAGTTTGGCATAGTTGAAGTAGCCTCAGACTGGGAGCCCAGGGTTTGAGTCACTAGTGTGGTAGTTGCATAATACTCATGATAATTGTGACTGACAATCACAGATCAGTGAATTGTGCTACTTAATGTCAGTGGGCTCTTGAGAGATTAGAAGTCACTGGGAAGCCAGGCTCAGTGGCTCAGCCTGTAATCCCATGCCTTTGGGAGGCTGAGGTGAGTGGATTGCCTGAGCCCATGGGTTCGAGACCTGCCTGGGCAACTTGGCGAGACCTCATCTCTACAGTAAATCAAAAAAATCAGCCGGGCATGGTAGTGCGCACCTGTAGTTCCAGCTACTTGGAAGGCTGAGGTGGAAGGATCGCCGGAGCCCAGCAGGTCGAGGCTGCGGTGGCCGGGAGCGGCCACTGCACTCCAGTTTGGGTGAGAGTGAGACTCCAACTCAAAAACAAACAAACAAAAAAAAAAGTCACTGGGAGAGACTAGGGCTCTCCTGAAATACTGGGGTCATTTATGTTTTGCTCATTCTCAATTGAGTTGATCATGTGTTCTCTTACAAGAGGCACTGAGTGTTGTCACCACAGCATAAACATTGGGTTCCTGGGGCTATGGAGTAGGACAAGGGGGGGTGCCTTTTCCCTCCAAGGTTTTAAGGATGTCCTCCACTGAGGAAGATCGGGATTACTAATTAAATAACAATTCTGATCCTGAGAATAAAAGCTGGGCATCATTTGCATAGGAACGCCATTAACATTTTCTTGATAGGCTAGTAAACTTCACCAGTGCTTTGGCTGCTTTCTATGGACTGTGCTCCTTTGCTTTTATTGCTAAGTCATCCTTCAGAGAGTGGGAGTGGCTGACTGCTGGAGGTAATGGGGTAAGTTTATGAATCATATGTTCATTTATGGCAACAGATATGTGTCTACAAACATGTATGAATTTGTACTAATCTACTTTAGTCAACATGATCTTGTTAATTTGTTAAATGCAGGCACAGAAAGCCCCAAATTATGCAAGTACATAAAACAAAATTAATCTCATTATCTTTTTTGTTAGTATGTGTGTGACTGGGTGTAGCTGTTATGTACGCACCCCTCTAGACCGTTGTTGGATCTACAAGCCTGATTGTAGCGAAAACTATGTGTTTGTGTGTCTAAAGTACGATGAATTGTTTAGCATTCAGAGTGAGGTAGCAGGTAGAAAATTGTTCTGATTCTGGAAATGAGGTGAAAGAAGTGAGGAAAAGGAGTTAGAGTTTGGTAATGAGATTAGAACATCTTGAAATATTCTTTCTAATAGAATGTGTAAATTGTGATTGAGGAATGGTATATTAGAGAATGAATCATAGTCAGGAAATTGAGAAATCTATTACTATACTTAGGGTTCGGTGCCTCTGTGGAACAAATAAAGAATTATTTTAGGACAGAGTCTGAAGTTGTGTGTATAATATAGGAATTCATGTATGAGTTGGTATGTGTTGGAGGTAAGAAAGATTTCCTGTGGAATCTAGAAGGAGGTCATGAGAGGAAATATATAGTATCTGTCCTGGCAATCTTGTGTGAAATAGAATGCATGTGCCTGGGGAAGAAAGGAAGGTGATGGATTGCTGTTGGCCCCTCCCTGATATATCTTAGAAAAGTTGGATCCTTACTGGTGGCTAGACTCTAGCTAGACACATGTGGGCACTTCTTTTCTGACAGACCACTGAGGTCGGAAAGGAGAGTTACTATTGGCCAAAGGGAAAGAAGTCAAGATCTGTCCCCGTGGGTCTCACTGGAAAAGGCTACCAGTAGGTCCTGACACAGCTTCAAAATGGTGACTTTTCAGTGCTGTGAGGACCTTGTGATGTTCAAACTGTCTACAGTCTGGTGTCATGATGTGGGAGAGTGAATGTATGTTGTAGTTGGCAAGGATGGTATGAGAAGGAGGGTGTCCTTGGGAAGACCCTGAGCTTTTAGGGACCAAATGAAGTAGAAAGACATTCTATCCTGTACTCTGAATTGAAGACAGCTTATTGCTATTTCACTTTGCCAATGATGATTTTATCACCAGCATTTCCTCACAAATGAATTTGGGTGAGAGAATAAAATTACTTTACAAACTCTTTTAGCATGGAATGGAACTAGAAGATGACATTTTTTTGTTTAAAATTAGTTCATGTGGCAGCTTTGGAATGTGATGAGAAAGCTAAACCCTTGCTAGTCACAGCTAGGGTCACAGAAGGATGTAACTCTCTTGTAGAGATGATCCCTTTGAGGTTCAGAAGGAGAAACTGAGGCCTGGAGAGATTCAGTGGTTTTTTCCAAGGTTACACAGCTGTATAGGGTCACAGCTGGTTTTTAGATCTCTGTACTTTGGATGTGACCAGGCTTACGAAAAAATCTGTTTATTGGCTACCTTTTTCCTTCCCATTTTATTAAGTCAGTGAGAAACAATGGATCAACTCACTAAGTGTTGACCAGTATCTCTGAAGAATAGTCAGGCTTGTTGAGGTCCTTTTTGCAAGTTATTACTGGTCTCTCTAAAATTAACCCTTTCTTTTGCCTTGTGTTATCAAAGGATTGTTAAACCATGGCTTGGCTCTTCACATACATATTAGACACTGTCTATAATACAGAAAATACAATTATTCACTGTCTCCAAATTAATTTAGATAGCTATTTTAATAATTTGGGAATCCCTATGGTTTACCTGTTTACTTTGCCTAAATAACTATGATTGTGCCAGGACAAAGAACTTTGACAATTATTCATATAAGCAAATATTCAAGAAGAAAATAATTACCGTTGAGTCTGCAGGATTTATATACCGTAGTAATTATTTTTTTTTGTTTTCATAGGCTTTAACCTCATGGCTGTCTTTGGAAGGATACAGGAGTCTCATATATCTTACTTCCTTTAATATATGTACAGTGATAATTCTTACCTTTTCAGTAAGACTTTTCCTGACCAACATAATTAAAATTGCAAAGCTCATCCCAGCATCTTCATCTTTTCCCTCTGCTTTATTTTTCTCCATAGCACTTAAACAGTTTAACCTACTACATCTAGGTATTTATGTCTGTATGTATGTATGTCTCTATCTATCTATCTATCATCTATCTATCTATTGTCTTGTTTTTCTAACCACAGAAACGTAAGTCCCATGAGGACAGGGATTTTTATCTGTTCTGTTCATTGTTGTATAGTTAGCTCCTAGAAGAATGGTTGACACATTGCAGGAGTTTAAAAAATAATTGAACGAATAAATGAACTGCAATAGATTTATCTTTCTCCAAAGACATGCTTTGGTAACCTGATGATGAGTAAACAAGAGAAATGAGGCGCGCATTGGTAGCAGTTTCTCTCAGATCCCACAAAGAATCTGAAACAGTGCTCTCGGCTATGAGCTTAATGTGAATTGATACTTCTGGTACTTTCAAAAGACTCTAAAATGTCCCAGCAGCTATGGAGACTGAAATGTTGCAGAATTTGTGTTGTCTTTTGTTTCCATAAGGCTTTAACCTTATGGATACAGGTGTCTCTCATATTTCCTACTTTAATTTAGAAATTCTATTATTCATGCATATATACATTTTCTTTATTTGCATCACATTGTAGGAGATGGTATAATATCCTCCTTAACAGTGGTGGCTTTGATTTTGATTGCTTGCTTTGGAGTCTGGCTCTGCTCCTAATGAGACCTGGACCTTGGGCAACAGAGCCTCCATAAGGCTCAGCTGATTCATTTGTAAAATCAGGATAGCAATCACTACTCAAAGATGGTTGTAAGGGCTAAATGAAGTAATGCATGTAAGTTCCTAGCCTAGTGCAAGGCACATTCCAAGTACTTGGTTAATGAACCAAATGCTATTTTATAAAAGAATCTTACAAAAAGCCTAAACTAGTGTGTACGCTGTGGGGCGTTACAGCAAAGAGTGTCAAGCAATGGTAAAAAGATCTGGTTGTGGAGTCCAAAGGGCAGGTATTCAAATTGTGGCTTTGCTTCTTATCAGCTATAAAACATCAGGCTGATAAGTTGACCTTTTTGAAGCTTAATTTTTCATGTGAAAGTGAGTATTGGAGCACTAAAATATCTGGGTTGCTACAAAGATTGCACTTGACAAATTATGGGAACCTCTTAGCATATTTGCTCAATATTTGTTTATTATTATTAGCATTAAATTGTACAACTATATGTTTGTCATAGGTAACCACTCGTCTGAAGTGAGTATTTATCATGCATTTCTCTGTGTCCTTACTATTTACATAGATATTTGTAAATAATAGATATATATCTGCTATAATATATAATGTGAGATTTGTCTATGTTGATATGTATCTCCAGTTTACTTATGTTCACTGTAAAATAACATCCTTTCTCCAGCTGAGAAAACTTTATTTTTCTTCAATATCTTGCAGTTAAAACACTGCTCTTCTGAATGTTCTTGTATGTATTTTCACGTGCATATGGGTGATTTTGGATATATATCTGCGAGTTCACTGGATACTCTCAAACTGATCTTCAAAGTGGCTGTACTCAATTACCATCTCCCTATTATTGTCTGCATTCACCATAACATTTGGAATTGACAGTCTTTTTAAATTTTGTCATTTTGAGATTATAAAATAATATCCTGTGTTTCAGTTTATAAAATAGTATCCTGTGGTTTCAGTGTGAATTTTTCTGAATACTAATGAGGGTGAACACTTTTTATTTATTTATTTTCTGTCTTGCTCAATTTTATATTGAGATGTTTATTTTTATCTCGTTGATCTGTATAAGTCTCTTGTTTGTTCATTCATGTTATTCTGAATTCTAGCTCTTATTTTTACAATATATGTTGGATGCATCTACTGTTGTGAAGCTTTGCTCACTTATTTTATGTTAGTTTCATGAACAAAATTTTACATTTTAATGGAGTCAAGCCTTATTGGTTTGTGTTTTAACATCAATATATTCCTATATTACATCACATATATAAAACTAAAAATAATTTTACTTTTATCTTCCTGAAATTATTTTTATATAATAAAATAAAGGCCTAAAGGTAAAAAGGAAAAAGTTACAGATTTAAGAAGATAATAAGAATCTAACATAATATTCATTGACTTATTTATTCTATTTTTTTCTACATATGTTTTAGATTACTACCTAAACATTATTATGTCTGGAAACAATTGTTGTTGTTTTTTTTTTTTTTTGGCTTCATCCTTTTCAGTCTTATAAATGTTCTTTATTTTCCTGTCTTACTGCATTGTTAATATTTTTTAAATTATAAGCTGCCATAGACATGGGTCATTTAGTTGTTTGGGTTTATTTTCTGATTTTTAAGGGAATGCTTCTTATATTTCACCATTTAGGAAGTAGGGTTTTGATGAATACCCATTATCAAACTAATTATTTCCAGTGTGCAAAAAATTTTACTATGAGTAGCCAATGAATCTAAATGATTATATGGTGACCTTTCTTTAATGAGCTATTGTGGTGAATTATACAAGTGTATTTTCTAATATTAAAGGATCATTGTATTTCTAGAAGAACACTACTTGGTCATTTCTTAATATGTTACTGATTTCTGTTGCTAATATTTTTTGTGTGGGCTTTTTTTTTTGGCTTTTCCATTTATATTCATGAATAAGACTGGGCTCTAGATATTTTTTTTTTCTTTCACGTTGACACAAAATGCTTTCTTCTTTGATTGAATTCTCTCTCTTTTAAGCATTAAGAAGCATTGATAGTCAGAGGAGGGGTGGACTAGGATAGAGCAGAGCTTGATTGGATTTAAACAGAGTCTTCAGGATCCTGTGTCTGTGCATCTCTGAGTTCAATGTAGTCCTCTTTGTGTTGGTACAGGAGATATGTAAAAAGTAACATCTCTTTACATTTCTAGTCCAT